GGTAAATGTCACAAGATTGCAGGAGCACTCAGTCTGTCAAGCGGGACCTGTAGACCACCACTTCTTCTTCTGCCTTTGCTAGCTCCAATCAAAAAGCATGTGAAGAAGAATTTCTACACACGTCTCACAACTGTCATTGCATCTGCACACATGCCATTCTGCAATTAAACACGGGGTTTTTTGTCTGAGTTCAAATCTTGCCTTCTTGTGATTCGAAGCAGAAGTAATGCCATCAATGAAGCCAAACGTGTCAAGGTTAGTCATGAGTGATGTGCTGAATTTGGTCTGTCTTGCACGAAGATAGTTGCAGTGGTTGTTGACTTGCCAATTCCATCACCCACCAATGCACTTCTTTGCACTAGTTAAAGTAGACATTTACCCTGTTTCATGGAAGGTGCTGCCTTTGGACCATTGAATCGATATCATTCACTTTTTCCGAGGCCAGATAGCTTTTGAGCTGTGATTCGACATTATGTCGAGTGGATCATGAAGGGACTCCACTCTTTCATTACTCGTAACTAGCCAATGAAGTAGTATCGTGGATTTACTTTGTTACTTAAAAAGAGAAGCAAGGATGATAATCGAGGCGACTTTTGAGACTCTTCTAGCTTAGTATTTCGACAGCATTTTGTGTGGTTTGTCGGTTTTAGATTACCCAGCGTTGCTCGAATATTCGTCTCGATAAGTCCTACTGTTGAATTTTGTCATTTGCCAACATGGATTTGGTTGTGCCTTACCGCGTGGTCCTTGGCCCACTTTCAGAACCCACCTTCTCCAAGTATCGTTTTTCATTGGCCACGATCTAGCTGCTTGCCAAGCACCTCGGTGACTTTTCAAGCTCTCCTTACCATTGCATTAGTTATTCTTAAGACAGAAGGCCTGAATACGCTACATGAGACATGAATCTAAGCAAAACTTGATCATTGACGTACTAGGGTGTGATGGGATACCAAAGCGGTGTTAGAAGTTAGTCAGGCCGAGGAGAACGCATTTTTACTCAAGCATATATCTGTCTACCACAGAGTGCGTTCAGCTAAACACGAATTATAGACCAAAATTATGGACCTGAAAACGACTGCTCTGATATACCAGGCAACAACTGTACGTCAAGTTGAAAGGCGAAATAGTTTTACTCGAATTGCACAACACAGAGATTCGTTGAAAAAGAGTAACTAAAGGAGACGATGAGCTTCTTCATCAATACTCTAACCGCATAACCTCGCGCTCTCTGGTCACCTGAGCGAAACGCATAAGTGGTAGCCCTATTCGGGCACGCAAGCCAGTGAGTCTCGGTTGGCACCTGTAACGACGCGAACCCGCAAATTTTGATATGAATCAACTCCTGGCATCGCTTGAAGCGAGGAAGTACGTTTTTTCGTTTAGCACAAGCGCTACTCATCCTACTCTCCTCATCATTAGTAATTAACAGGCAACTAATAAACAAATAAAAGCATTTATGCGGCATACAAAAAGCGGACAATTAAGGAAACGCCTCGCTACAGCTAAGCATACATTGTGTTCCAGCCATCCTAGCCCAATACTACAAATACGCTCTCCGTGTACTTCACTGGTGTGTGATAACTGGCCTGTCATTGCATCTGCACACATGCCATTCTGCAATTAAACACGGGGTTTTTTGTCTGAGTTCAAATCTTGCCTTCTTGTGATTCGAAGCAGAAGTAATGCCATCAATGAAGCCAAACGTGTCAAGGTTAGTCATGAGTGATGTGCTGAATTTGGTCTGTCTTGCACGAAGATAGTTGCAGTGGTTGTTGACTTGCCAATTCCATCACCCACCAATGCACTTCTTTGCACTAGTTAAAGTAGACATTTACCCTGTTTCATGGAAGGTGCTGCCTTTGGACCATTGAATCGATATCATTCACTTTTTCCGAGGCCAGATAGCTTTTGAGCTGTGATTCGACATTATGTCGAGTGGATCATGAAGGGACTCCACTCTTTCATTACTCGTAACTAGCCAATGAAGTAGTATCGTGGATTTACTTTGTTACTTAAAAAGAGAAGCAAGGATGATAATCGAGGCGACTTTTGAGACTCTTCTAGCTTAGTATTTCGACAGCATTTTGTGTGGTTTGTCGGTTTTAGATTACCCAGCGTTGCTCGAATATTCGTCTCGATAAGTCCTACTGTTGAATTTTGTCATTTGCCAACATGGATTTGGTTGTGCCTTACCGCGTGGTCCTTGGCCCACTTTCAGAACCCACCTTCTCCAAGTATCGTTTTTCATTGGCCACGATCTAGCTGCTTGCCAAGCACCTCGGTGACTTTTCAAGCTCTCCTTACCATTGCATTAGTTATTCTTAAGACAGAAGGCCTGAATACGCTACATGAGACATGAATCTAAGCAAAACTTGATCATTGACGTACTAGGGTGTGATGGGATACCAAAGCGGTGTTAGAAGTTAGTCAGGCCGAGGAGAACGCATTTTTACTCAAGCATATATCTGTCTACCACAGAGTGCGTTCAGCTAAACACGAATTATAGACCAAAATTATGGACCTGAAAACGACTGCTCTGATATACCAGGCAACAACTGTACGTCAAGTTGAAAGGCGAAATAGTTTTACTCGAATTGCACAACACAGAGATTCGTTGAAAAAGAGTAACTAAAGGAGACGATGAGCTTCTTCATCAATACTCTAACCGCATAACCTCGCGCTCTCTGGTCACCTGAGCGAAACGCATAAGTGGTAGCCCTATTCGGGCACGCAAGCCAGTGAGTCTCGGTTGGCACCTGTAACGACGCGAACCCGCAAATTTTGATATGAATCAACTCCTGGCATCGCTTGAAGCGAGGAAGTACGTTTTTTCGTTTAGCACAAGCGCTACTCATCCTACTCTCCTCATCATTAGTAATTAACAGGCAACTAATAAACAAATAAAAGCATTTATGCGGCATACAAAAAGCGGACAATTAAGGAAACGCCTCGCTACAGCTAAGCATACATTGTGTTCCAGCCATCCTAGCCCAATACTACAAATACGCTCTCCGTGTACTTCACTGGTGTGTGATAACTGGC